TCTGTTAAAGTAAAAGAATTAGAAGGCTTAACAATTACGTTAGCCTGTCCCACTATTTATAATAAGAGTTAGGAAAACCTTAGGAGACCCTAGGTATTACATAAAAGACCTAAATACCCTTTAACATTGTCTTTAGAAGAATAGTTGGAAAATGCCATAATCAGCTGGACTCGTTTAAAGTATACAAGGAAAATTCTAGTGATATGTATCATATGCAACTTAACCGTCACAGCCAACATTATATTAATCTTGCAAGTAAGATACTCGTGAACACCTTTCTCTGTATGTAAAACTATAAATAACTTGCTAACTAGGTGGGGCAATGGGGTAACTCAAAACATTTAATGAATTATATGTTATTGAGAAAGCTACTTATGACCTTTAAAACAAGATGAGAAATAACTCAGGCTAAGATAACAATAAATAAGGTGAAAAAACTTGAAGTACCTTCCAAAAAAGTTTAAAAAGGAAACTCAGTGAAGAGGAGGTGATAATGGGGTCAAAATTATCTCTAGACAAACTCATTGGATAAAGTAATCGGATGTCCTCTTTTCCATTTTGAAACGTCTCAAAATAATATCTACTTGCCTAGGAAAACCTATACTATTCTTTTCCATAGCAAAATGAGAAATATACTTTCTTTTGTCATTAATGTCATCAATGAAAACGAGACTCATATATATGCTGAATACAACCATCTCTTCAAAAAAATAAAATAAATAAATGATCAAAACAGAAAAAGTTCAAGAAAGAAATCAGTGGCTAAGATACAATTTTCGATACTCTAATCCACGTACAAATTCCAGCAGAACACAACGATGTTTCTCTATCCAGAAAGTGACCAGATAAGAAGAAAACAAAGCTTCAAAGATGTATTTCTCTAGGAATACATTTTTTAGATGTTATAGAAACATTAGAGTGGTGCGCAGAATTTTTTTTAGGATAATAAACTATAAAAGCTATTGAATATAGGCGAAAAAGGTAAATAAAGTACAAAGAGATGAAGAAGAAAACGAAGGTTAAAAGGAGCAATAGAGATGCACAATTTAATGTGCAAGTAAAAATTAGCATAAACCACCAAAATTCCTGATTTTAGACGAACAATATATTAGTAGTCACCTCTAACTAATACTGGTGAAAAGATAATAAATTTTCGGGAGGAAATAAAACAGTAACTTAATTGGCTTATGCTTAAGTACCAAAATTAATTTTTCCTTTTTTCCTTTGTGTTTATAGTTAATTAGAGCACTGATGACTAAGCATCACGTAGGCTAGCTGCACCAAATTAACCATGAAAGGAAAATTATTGTAAAAAAAAAGGGTGATAATGCTATTCGCCTATTCGTATTCTCTTCAATATTCACAGATGGGGAAATAATAGCCTACACATAGATTGATGTGCACAAAAATAAGAACTACAATTACAAAAAAGACTGAAGCAACAACCAAAATATAATAGTCATAGTAATGAGATGCCCTCATAAATATTAGGGTGAAACCAGGACAGTAAGCACAATTGAATGTCTATTTGAAGACAAGGCTCAACATGTCAATAATACATACATAATGATTGTCTTTTTATCTTATGATCACATGATTTTATAACTGAATTTGTCAATTCATAAATACATTTCAAATAAAAGATATTTCCACTAACTCCAGGGATGATAGCTATTTAGTTCACTAGAATACAGGAAACACTCGAGTTCTACCAAAAATGCAGAATAGAAGTCAGCGAACGTCAAAAACACAATATAATAGTAGGTTCTTTATTTATATAATCATATAGTATCCTTCAACAGATGGTTTCAGTTTGATCATTTCACTTGTAATTCTTGAACCTTGGGCAACATATTCTTAGATTTATCTGGTATGAAAGAAAGTATACTCATCTAAAAGTGAGAACTTTAGTGCAGGATAATGCTTTTAAATCCATTTTCTAACCACCCATTTCTCTGCCTAAGCAATCTCACGAGTCTCCCAAATTAAAGAGTCCTCATTTAGGTGGTCTGCACATGGATCTGTGATTATATCTCTGACATTCTAAATATGTAATATGAACTCATGCGAGTCCTCAAGAAGCTAATATAGTATGGCCGAACTTGTAGTTTCATGTAACTGATGAATCAACCAGTTCTTCTATCTAAAAACTAAATCCACAGTGAGTATAGTCCATGTTCCACTACAGATAGAGGTCTCTTTCTCAACTCGTCCAGTGGCCAGGCAGAACTGGAAAAATAGTTCAATTATGAATCTTGAATAAAAAGGCAACTAAAAAAATGCAAATTTTACAAAGACATCATAAAGAACAAGCAAAGAGCAACTAAGTATCAAAAACAATAAAACAAAGAAGTATCACACTCTTACCGATGCTTTTGTCAAAGATGGCGTCACGGGAATCAATTGCTTATATTGTTTGATAGAAAGTTCTTCAAGCCTCTGAGTTCCAGCAGATAACTACCCAAATAAAATAGTCAATAAGCATACGAACTTCCAAATTATCCTCAAACAAAGGGAGAAATGGACCTACCTGAGGAGTAGTCTGAGTGCGAGGAGGGCCCTGAGCCACAGCTTCAGCCATATTAAGACCAGTAGTTGTGCTCAAAGCCAAGGTGGCAAAGCTTGAAGGAAGGGTATGTTGCGCAGATAAAACGCCAGTTCCCTTACTTCCAGCTAACACAGGCACCTCTGCCAGAGCTGATGTCCATTTTTCAAAACCTATCATTGCTGAGGTACCAACTGGTAAATTCTGGATGACAGTACTCAAACCAGGAGATTTAACTCTTCCAATATCAGGAGCAGCTGATCTTTCTTCTGCTCCCAGGGAGGGAAAATCTCTTTCAAATGCATCTTTCTTCACACTGCCAATAGGACTGCCCTTGACAACCAACCCATTGCTATTGTTTCCACTGGCATTGCTAGAGTCAATTAACGTTTTCTTAGGCCAGTTCTCTCCATGTTTCCCAGAGACTATCGATTGTGAGCGTCTTAACCCATCCCTCTCAAAACTACTAGACAAAATCTTCCCTAACGGATCTGAAAAGTCTCGACGCCTATGGTCCCCAAAAACTGACTTTTCTTTATCACGATAATCATATGCATCCTTCTCCCAGTCCCTTTCTCGGTGGTTTCTATTAAAACTATTATATGACCTCAAGTGTGTTGAACCATTACTACTGGAACTACGGCTGAAATATGAGGAAGAAGTTCTGTCAGAATCAAGTGATCGCCCTAAACAATGACCATTGTTATTCACTGAAGACCTATTTCTTGCATGCTTCGATCCAGCATTATCATCTAAAACAATAGAAACACAGTTAGAACCCAGCATAAACCAATTAATTAGAAGACATTTAATACCGAACCCTTCAGAAGGATGATTAAGATTACCTAAATGCAATGTAGTGCTGGGCAGACTTCCACCACTTTTCAGCCATTCTGGTACTAACGTGGGCTCACTTTTTTCCATGACTAGTGCCGAACATGATCACATGAAAGTATAGAACACTTGTCTTATTCGAATTCATGATCGCACATTCAACTTGATGTGTCAGCGACAATAACTGCCAGATTTCCCCTCCCAAACAGAATTGAAGGCATCTTCACCAAGCTTATCCAAATATATTTTAATCTGAAATCTACAATACGCTAAACCCACTTTCCTTAACACCAAAGTCCTTAGCGCACTAGGCTCTACTCCACCAATCAAAATTCACAAATCGCCCATCCATTTCTCCCAAAAAACCTCCTCAAATAAAAGAATCAGAACTGATCTATACAGGGACACTAGGGTTTTCCTATTCTCTCTTTACAAAATATATATAGATGTGAAAACCAACCAACAAGGGATCCACTGACAATATTAACAATGCCAAACTTTGGCAATCTTTTCGACGCCAAGAATAGGTATCAACAAGGGCTTCTCAAGGCCTCCATGTTCATGAAAAAACACACGAAGAAGACCCTCATATCACTAACAGGAAAATTCAAAAAATAGCCCACGAAAACAATACCCTACTCCATGCATCAAAATGGAAAACCAAGCAATTCTCCAAGAAGCACTCCTACCCAGATGGAAAAATAGATAGATTATAAAAGTCCAGAACCCAAAATCATCCAAAGACGTAGAAAAAACCCCCAAAATTCAAGAAAAATCCGATTGTGTTCAACAGTCCGGTAATGTGCGAAATTAAGAAAAGTATCTATACAATGAAGATTAAAAAGTTTACCGACCCACCCAGATTTTATTAAATAAGAATAATATACCCCGAAGTCTTGTGTCTAGAAAAAAAAATACCCCTAGTCTTCCTCGCCGCCTCGAGTTGGTTGTCTCAGAACCTTAACATTTGTGTACGGAAATTTCTAGAGAGAGAGAAGGCCCAATGTCACAATGTGTTTGTTTTTCCCAATTCCTCGTCTCCTTGTATACTGTGCGACAAGTGAGATGGAGATGATTATTTGTGTGTTTTTGTAGAGAAAGGAGATTAGTGATAGCTATTGTTTGTCTGTATACGCGGGCGTGTTTCAATCTATAAGTACACAAAATTTTGACGTGAAATCACTGAAAAATGGAGGGAGAGAAAAAAAAAAGGGACAATCATACGCTGACAAGTTAGCGTCGATATGAATTTTGTGAACATTTTCTGTACTCGTGACTTTTTTCATGTGTTTAGACTTTAGAGGAAGAAGTGGCTTTGTGTCTCTTTCTCCTTGGATCGTGTGAGATATCTGTTTGTTATATTTTTGTAATTGTTTACATATATATAATGTATTGAGATATAATCGAGTCGAGAGAAAAAAAAAAAAAAAAAGGGACAATCATGCGCTGACAAGTTAGCGTCGATATGAATTTTGTGGACATTTTCTGTACTCGTGACTTTTTTCATGTGTTTAGACTTTAGAGGAAGAAGTGTTTTTGTGTCTCTTTCTCCTTGGATTGTGTGAGATATCTGTTTGTTATATTTTTGTAATTGTTTACATATATATAATGTATTGAGATATAATTGAGTCGGAATTTCTTCAATCAAATAAAAATTAATAATTAAATTACTTGTACGTACAAAATATACATCTCAATTGACATCCTTTATGTGTTAAAAATTTGATAGTTGATTAGAAAAAATGTGCTGTCAAAATCAATATATCAATATCCGTAAACTCACGTGGGTGTAAATCAATGTGTTAACCTTTATGCACATATAGCATGGTCCAAAAATAAACTTCATCATTCTCTTTTTGACACTTTATTTGTATATAAATCATTATACAACTAGATTATGTACAAGTAGCATTATTCTTGTTTATTTATTTTGTATGTTATTTATTTTTTGTCCTAGAAAAAATTCTAAACGCCGCTCAAATTGTAACATCTAGGCTCTTAGCATGTAACAATAGGAGAAGTTCTATTGATCAACTACTCTTTTGTTGGTTGATTTCAACATATTAGTGATGGTAATCTAATGAATAATGTTAGTGGTAATTACATAAAATTAGGTGTTTAAAGATTGATTTTTACAAATCAGGTCCAAAATTTATTTATTCAAAAATCAAGTATTTTATTTTAAATATCAAACATTAAATCTATACAAACCCTAAACTAATTCATTTATCTCCACTCTTTCACCGTCTCTCCACAATGGCGATTCATCCACCACCATCGCTCGCCGTTCATATCTCTAATCTCAAACCTCCGTCGCAACCATCCGTCTCTACACCGTCCCTCTTCGACGTTGCTTTCGTCCGTCTCTGTACTTT